AGCCCACGTAAAACACAAAGGGCTGCAGGGAGAAGTTGGGCCCTGAGTGGGAAGGTGGGGAAGAGATTTGTCCCACTGTGCTGGGCACTGCTGAGGCCACACCTGCAATCCTGGGTTTGGGTTTTGGGTTTCTCGCAAGAAGGACAATGAAGAGCTGGAGCATGAGGGGAATGGAGCTGGGGAAGGGGCTGGAGCACCAGGAGCAGCTGAGGGAGCTGGGAAGGGCTCAGGATGGAGAAAAGGAGGCTCAGGGGGACCTTGTGGCTCTGCACAGCTCCTGACAGGAGGGGACAGCCAGGGGGTCGGGCTCTGCTCCAGGGAACAGGGACAGGAGGAGAGGGAACGGCCTCAGGCTGGGCCAGGGCAGGGGCAGGTCAGATATTACATAGATTTTTTTCATGGAAAGCATGGTCAGGCCCTGGCACAGGCTGCCCCTGTGACACTGTGGAGTTCCCATCCCTGGAAGGGTTCAGAAAGTGTGGCATGGCACTCTGGGACATGGATTAGTGGTGGCCTTGGTATGGTTGGACTCGATGGTCTTGGAGGGCTTTTCCAGCCTTGAGGATTCCATGGGATTGAAGCAGATTTGCTCCAGAACAACATGCTGGGAGGGGCCCTGGCTGCCCCACAGGCAGCAGATGCTGCAGGAGCCCCCAGCACAGATTCCACTCTGGGAAGAGGGGACTGCATCTCAAGCTCCTGGGAGGAGGAAATTGGACTCTTGGAGCTCCTTCGTGCCCATGGAGCAGCAACACGGGAATTTTGGAGGTTTCTTGCCCTTCAGGGTGACATATTTGGTCATGAGCCCATTGTGGGCCACTCATGGCTGCAGGGTGGCATCAGTGATCCTGGAGAAACTGGCCCCAGTCCGTCCCAGCATCATTCCCTGCCCTCCCAGAGGTAAATTTGGGATGAGCTTTCACAAGGGAGGTTACTGAGGCAGGGGACAGTGCTTCAGCTGCCTCTTTGTGCTTCCTGGAGCCTGGAAAAGCAGTGCCCAGGAGCTGGTGTGCACTGGGAGGGATGATCCTTCCTGCTCCAGGCACTGCCTGCAGGGAGGGCTCATCCCAACACACAACTTCCCAAACTGCCAGGGCATGGACTCTTCTCACAAATAATTCCCAATCTGAAGGGTGATCTGATGCAGAGGCACCCCCAGGGCCATACCAATGTGGGAGTCGATCTCCACAATCTTCTCAATGCTGCTGGGCTCCATCAGGGGAGATGTGATCCTCTTCTCCACAGCCAGGCAAACTCCCTCTGAGGTCTGGATCCCGATGGCTGTGGAGCCAAGCTGCAAAACACCACCACAGGCTCCAGCTCACACAAGCAGCAGTGCTAGTTCTGACTCACCTGCAGGTGTGTTGGTTTGGATTCAATTGTGTCACCCACACACAAACCCACTCTGGGTTACACAGTGGATTTTCAAGCTTATTCCCTGAAGCAGGAAATGGAAAAAGTGAAATCCATGCGATTCCCATGAGACCCCAGTGGGTCCCAAAAGGTCCCTCTGAGCCTCCTTTTCTCCAGGCTGAGCCCCTTCCCCAGCTGCACATCCTTTAAGCAACAGCAGTTTGTGGAGCCTGGTGAGAGTAAAAGGCCCTGGGAATTCTCCTCTGCCAGAGGGAAAAGAGTTTTAAACTCTTTTAAACATTTAAGGGTGAGAGAATTTCCCACATCAGCACAAATCCCACTGCAGTTCTGGCTTTCCCCAGAGTCCCAGGCAGCAAATTCAGCCCTGGGACTGCAGGACACCTCAGTGTCACCAGGGCCACAAGCACAGGGACAGCTCCTCGGGGCTCCTGGCAGCCCTTGTCTGGATCCTGCTGTGATCCTACCTTGATCCCATCAGGCCCTGCCTGGATCCCACCTTAATTGCACCAACTCTCACCTTGATCCCACAAATCCCTGCCTTGATCCCAACAGCCCCTTACTTTGATCCTACCTTGATCCCACTTTCATCCCACCAGCCCTGCCTCGATCCCACCATGATGTTACCAAGGTTTCCCTGATCCCACCAGCCCCTAATCTGGATTTTACCAGCCTCTAATCTGGATCCCACCAGTCCCTAATCTGAATTTTACCAACCCCTAATCTGGATCCCACCAGCCCCTACCTCAATCCCATTTAATCCCACCAACCCCCACACTGGTCCTACCTTAACCCCTCCAACTCCTAAACTCAATCCAGCCCTGATCCCACCACCAACCTTCATCCCACCTTCATCCCAGCCTGCTCCCAGCACTCCCAGCTCTTCCACAGCTCAGAATTTCCTGGCAGAACTGTCTCAGCTGCACTGTGGAATGCTCACTCCCAACAGCCACTTCAAGCCACGGGGTTTAATTTTAACCCCAAGATTCCCTGGAAAGCTGCACCTACAGCCACAGGTATGGCAGGAGTTCTATTTTAATTTATAAAGTCAGCATGGCCACCAAGATCCTCCTGGGATATTTAATTCCCAAGCCCTTGATAATTTTATTACTTTTTCTGTTACATGATTACTTTATTCCTCTCTTTAGTGCTCCAAGGAGCTAAAGGAACACAGGGAAGATGAAGTCAGGACCCTTCTCCCCAGTTCAAACACCTCAGAGCTTTTTCCCTTAATCACGTGACCTGTTTCTTCCAAATTTAAATGTATTACCAATCAGCACCCACGTTCTATCAATGACAGGAATAGTTATCAATCAAGGACATTCATATCTAATTCCTAAAGGCCATTTGGCCCTGCAAAGGTGAGTTTGCTCATAACAACCTTCAGCTTCACATTTAAATCCACCCAAGAAGTGGTTTAGGTTTGATTTGGGGATAAACAGCTTTGGCTTGCATTTTGTTTGGGGATAAATCACTTGGTAGCACAGGGGAGGGAACATTCCACTGAACTTCAATGGGTTCTGGTCCTTCCTGAGCCATAAAGCAGAGCTGTGGGCTGTCTGCCTGCAGGAGACACACACAGCCTGGATTAGTCCTGAGAAATCCCTGCCCAGGGTTTGAGGGATCCCCAGGTGTCAGAGTTTGGAAAGTTTTAAAAGTACCTTGATGGCCTCGATGGCATATTCCACCTGGAAGAGCCTCCCCTCTGGAGAGAAGGTGTTCACACCCCTGCAAGGACAACACACAGTGAGAAGGGCAGGGAACCCCGGGGCTGCGAGTCCTGGCTCGAGGGTGAGGCCAGCTGGGCACGGCTGTGGCAGCAGGGACACGTCCCCTCAGCACAGGAGCAGGATTCAGGATGCTCCTGCACAGCAGCTCAAGGAAAGGCAGCGGGTCCAGGCGCAGGTGAGAAGCAGGCGGGGTGTCCCAGCACACTTTGGAATCCAAAGGGAGCACCAGGAGCCAGAACGGTCCTGTTTTACCATGGAATCCTGGAATCCTTGGCATTGGAAAAGTCCTTTGAGATCACAGAGCGCAGCCTTTCCCCCAGCCCTGCAAGGCCACTGCTAAGCCCTGTCCCCAAGTGCCACCTCGGCGTGGATTCTGAGCCCTGCCAGCAAGAAGAACTCCAGCAGTGCCTCAGGCAGGCTGTGTCAGGGCTGGATAGTGCCTTCCAGGAGAAAAACTCCCAACAGCCAAACTAAATACCCTGGCCCAGCCTGAGGCTATTCCCTCTCCTCCTGTCCCTGGGAGCAGAGCCCGACCCCCCGGCTGTCCCCTCCTGTCAGGAGCTGTGCAGAGCCACAAGATCCCCCTGAGCCTCCTTTGCTCCAGGCTGAGCCCTGTCCCAGCTCCCTCAGGGATTCTCCAGCCCGGCCCCAGCTCCCTCAGGGATTCTCCAGCCCCTTCCCAGCTCCTTCAGGGATTCTCCAGCCCGGCCCCAGCTCCCTCAGGGATTCTCCAGCCCGGCCCCAGCTCCCTCAGCCGCTCCCGGTGCTCCAGCCCCGCTGCTCCCGCTCCTTTCCCCGGGTGCCATCCTCACACATCCCCAACTGCCCCCGCCCTCGGGTCCGTCCCACCCCGGCAGTCCCCGGTCCCGTGGCCGGGCTGCGGGCTCCCGGTGCGATCCCGGTGCGGGAGCCGCCGGTCGGAGCGCCCCGGAGCGCTCGGGCCGCGCCGGGCGCAGGCCCGTGACTCAGCCGCGGCGCGGGCGGGCACTCACCGGTCGTACTCGGAGCGCGTGAGGAACATGGCGGCGCAGGGCCGGGCGGTTCCGGCGGGGCTGGGACTCCGGAGGGGCCGGGGCGGTTCGGGGGCTGGGGGGCACCGGGAGCGCCGCGGCCTCACGGGGGCTGCTCCGCCGCTTCCGGCCCCGCCGGCACTTCCGCCCGCGCCGCGCGCCCATTGGACAGCGGCCCTGCGGCTCGGCCAATGGCAGGGCGTCGGGGGCGGGACCAGCGCGCAGGGAGCAGCGGGGCCGGGACTGGGGAGAGGGGCGGGGCCAACGCGCGGGGGCGGGGCCGGAGCGTCGGGGGCGTGGTCACGTCGCTGGGGCGTCCAATGGGGGCGTGGTCTTGGCGCTGAGGGGCGTGGTCAGTGCAAAAGGGGCGGGACCTGCGGAGGGGCGGGGCCTGCGGCGGGCACGGCGCGGTACCGGGAGGGGTTCCCGGGAATGGGGACTCGGAACGGGGGAACGGGGAAAGGGGGATCGGGGAGGCGGTACCGGGGATGGAACACCGAGAAGGAGGCACCGGGAAGAGGCTACGGGAGGCGGTGTCGGGAAGGGGCACCGGGACGGGCTGCACGGAGGGGAATACCGGGAGGAGATACCGGGAGGGGGTGTATGCCCCTGGGCCCCCGGCCATACCGGCACCCCAGCGCCCCGTGCGCGGTGCGACGCCGCCAGCCTCCTTGCCGGCCCCGTAAGCGGCCCCCCGCGGAATTCCCGCCCCGTTCCAGCGCTCCCGGCTCCCGGGGGATCGGTGGCCGGACGGGCCCTCCCCGGGGGGCCGGAGCGCCGGGGGCGGACCGGGGCGGGGGGCTGTCCCGGGGGGCCCGGGGCCGGCCCAGGGGCGCTGCCGGGGGCGGGGCGGTGCTGCCCGCCCCGGGGGCGGTGGGGTGCCTGGTGGCGGCTCCGCCAGCGGAGCCGTCCCAGCGGGCGGCGGAGGCAGCACCGACCGCCCCCGGCCCGGCCATGTCGGAGCCCGGCGCCCCCGCGGCCGGTGATAAACCGCCCCGGCTCCAGGTAGGGCTCCGGTGCGTCCCCCCTCCCGGTGACCGCGGCAGCCTCCCGGTGCAGCCCCTTGGTGTCCCGGCGCTGTTGCCCGGGGCAGCTCCCGGCGTCTCTCCGGTGTCCCGGAGGCGATCCCTGGAGGAGTCCGTGGTGTTCCAGTGCCGACACCTCCGGAGAAGCCCAGAGTGTCCCGCTGTAGCCGCCGCTGCGACCTGTGCAGCGCCCCGGTGTCGCGGTACAGCCCTCCGCTGTTCCGGTGCCGTGCCCGATGCCGTTCCCCCGGTCCCCCAGAGCAGCCCCTGCCCGGGGCAATCCCGTTACAGCCCCTCCGTTTCCCCGGGGCAGCTCCGCGGTTCCCCGGTGCGGCCTCTCCAGTGCTCCGGGGCAGTCCTCCCGGTTTCCCGGAGCAGACCCCTCCCCACCGAAGCAACCCCCAGCCCGGAGCAGGCCCCTCTGCAGCCCCCGATCCCCCGTTGCCGCCCCCTGCCCAGGGCCATCCCGTCGTGGCAGCCACGGTGCAGCGCCCCGTGGCCCGGGGAGCCCCCTGGTTCCCCGGAGCAGAGCCCCGGGCAAGCCCCGGTGCCGTGCCGGTGCTCCCCGGCTCCCGCCGCTCTGTCCCGCAGGACCGTGTCCTCCGTGGGCTGCGCTGGGGCCGCCTCCAGGAGCCGCTGGGCTTCATCAAGGTGCTGGAATGGGTGAGTGACCCCGGCGTGTCCCCCTGGCCCGGGCCCGACCCCTGCCCCCGTCACAGCCCCTTCCCCAGCGCTGCTGGTGCTGCCCCCCAAGCACCGGAGTCCCCCAGGTTTGGGGGGTTCCGTTGCTTTCCCGAAGCCCCCCCAGAACGAAGGAATCCCAGAGCCCCCCCTGCCCCTCCGGAGCTTCCTGCAACCCATCCGCAGCGGGGCTGGGGGCTGCGTTTTGGGGGCTGCGGGGCAGGAGGGGAGCAGGGCCACACGGTCGCCTGGGCTCGGGCCACCAGCCCCTCTCTGGCCCTCCCCGGTGACCTTGAGCAGGTGGCTCTGCCCAGCCATGCCAAAGGGGACGGTGACATCGGGGTGACAGGTCCCCGCCATTCCCACGGGCTCAGGGGGCACTGGGTGCGTGGGTGGGTGGGTGGTGGGTGGGTGGGGAGAGGGGTGAGGGTCAGTGAGCCCCAGGAAGGGGGACGCTGGGGACGGGGGGGAGCCAAGTGCCCGCGGCTCTGTCCTGTCCTGTCCTGGCCATGCCATGAATGGCTCCCTGTCAGATTGGATTTCAGGGTGGCATTTCTGCAGCTCGGCCTCGCCAAGGCTGGGGGGCTCCTGGGGGAAACTGAGGTACAGGGGGGACTCAGCCCTCTTTGGGCATCTCCCACCAGCAGAAGGCAGACTGAGGGGTTTTCCCCCAATCCTACAGCTCCTTGGTTTGCATAATCCCACCCACGGAGGCTCTGGGCTCCCCCTGCCATTGAGGCCACCATATGGGATCAAACCCCACAAAAACAAAAACGAGAAGAAAATCCCTGGAGGATCCACCCACACCCCAGCTTAAACCCTTAGTGCCACACATGGGGCTGCCCATCCCTGCAGCAGCAGGCCTGGCTTAGATCCCCCATTTCTCCCGGGAAGCCGGGAGCTCAGCCAGGCAGAGCTGTGGGAAAACACTTTGAGAATGGTGTTTTCCCGGCACCCTCATCCAAGAGATGAGGCCAGTGTGACTCCAAAGACAAGGGAGGGCAGTGCTGGCTCCTGGGGAGGGGACAGCTCTGGGGGTCCCACCATGGGGATGCTCCCAGCTCTCTGGAAACCCTCTCTGGCACTCAGTACCCTGCCCAAAATTAAGGGGGGACTGAGATGAGTTTGGCCTTGGTGTCCTCACCCCCTCAAACATCACCCCCTCCCTCAAATCCCAGTGTTGGAGGGAGGCACCCAAGGCCAACATCTGGGGGTGGCAGCTTGCCCATTACTCAGTGCCAGGGGATGCAGCCTGCCCCCCAAGGGTGAAAGGCCCCCCAAGTCCTCAACCCCCCAACCATCGCCCTCTCCTGTAGCTCTTTGCCATCTTTGCCTTCGGCTCCTGCGGCTCCTTCAGCGGCGAGACCGGAGCCACAGTGAAATGTGAGAGCGGAGGGATGACAGCCATCAGCGTCCAGTTCGGGTACCCCTTCAGGTGAGGGGGTGCTGGTCCCTGACACCCCCAGGGCTGCCCCCAGACAAGCTGGGGGTGCTGGGCTGGGGTTAGACTCCCTTCCTGCTGCCAGGACCTCCATAGGACCACAGCCACGGTCTGTGTGGTGCCATGTTCAGCTGGGAACCACCCACACCCTGACCCCATGGGACATCCCCTGGCATCCCTGTCAGTTCCTGGCACCAGCCAGGGGGATTCTTGTTAATCACAGAAGACCGGGGTGGGGAAGGAGGGGAGTTCTCAGTACTCGGGGAAGACCATGGGAATGCTGATTTATCTGGGAAGGCAGCGATGGAGTTGGGCCAGATGAGAGTCAGTTCTAACCCCTTTGCCACCAGCCCCATGCCAGGGCACTAGACCCTGGAAAAGAATCCAGGTTATGGCAGTGGATCTGTGCCCTCCATCCCAGGGACCACCCCAGCCTGGTTATTCTAGCCATCAATCACCATCAAACCTTCCATTCCCAGGGGACCACCGCAGCACTTGCTCCATCCATCCTTCCCATCCCAGGAGAGCACCCCAGCCTGGTTATCCTAGCCATCCCTGTCATCACCTCCATTCCCAGGGGACCACCCCAGCGTGGTTACACCCCTACCCCCACACCCTCTCCATTCCCAGCCCCCTGACACCCCCGTCCCTCTGTGCCAGGTTATACCAGATTCCCTTTGGGATGCCAAATTGTGAGGATGAATCAGAAGCTCGCACCCTGTACCTCGTTGGCGATTTCTCCGCTCCCGCCGAGTTTTTCGTGACCCTGGGGGTCTTCTCCTTCCTCTACTCCATGGCTGCTCTGGTGCTCTACCTCCGCTTCCATTCCCTGTACACGGAAAACACGAAGCTGCCCTTCACAGTAAGGCAGGCCGATGCCCGGGGCACGGGAACCCAGCGCCGTGCCAGGGTGGCAGCTGATCCCGGGCTCTCATCCTGGCAGGATTTCTGCGTCACCGTCTGCTTCGCCTTCTTCTGGCTGGTGGCGGCGGCGGCGTGGGGCAAGGGGCTGAGCGACGTGAAGGCAGCCACGCGCCCCTCCACCCTCATCTCCGCCATGGGCGTCTGCCAGGGCGACGGCGTGGTCTGCAACGCCGGCACCACGCCGGCCATGGGGCTGGCCAACATCTCGGTGGTGAGGGCAGCACGGGCACACGCACGGGCACACGCACGGGCACACATGGGCACACGCACGGGCACACGCACGGGCACACGCACACGGGCACACGCACGGGCACACACACGGGCACACATGGGCACACGCACGGGCACACGCACGGGCACACGCACGGGCACACATGGGCACACGCACGGGCACACACACACGGGCACACGCACGGGCACACACATGGGCATGCATATGGGCATATACACAGGCACGTACACGGATACATAGGGGCACACATGGGCACACACATATGGGCACACACATGGGCGCACAGGGTACACACAGGCACATACACGCACACGCACACAGGCACACACATGGGCGCACACACACAGACACACATGGGCATATACATGTGTACACACATGGGCACACACGGCCAAATAGGAGTAATTTTTTCATTGGGAGCACAGTTTAGGGACTTCAAGCAGAGCCGAGCAGCACACGTGCACACACATGCAACCCACAGTCTGCACACCTGGCAGGACCTGCTGCACACCTGGGCACATGAAGGCACAGCAGTGCACCCGCGTGTTCACGGGACAGCACACGTGCCCATGGGAGCACAGCACAGGTGCACCGTGCTCACAGCCGGGTGCACGCTCACACACTCGCTCACACTCTGTGCACACGTGTGCCTGATTGCTGAGCTCAGCCAGGAGAGGGCAGTGGGAATGTGGGCACACAGATGGAAATACGGGCACACGCATGGACATGCGGGTGAAAACATTCCACAGCCACTGTGGGATCCCCCTGCATCCCCCTGGCCGTCAGGGACTGCCAGGGTGGGCTGGGGGTGGTGGTGCAGCCCCTGGCAGTGGCGTTTGGGATCTATGGGGTGCGTGATGTGCGTGGGGCGTAGGGCACACGAGGTGCGTGAGGTCTGTGGGGCTCATGGGGTGCAGTGGGGTGCATGGGGTGCATGTGGCATGCGGGTTGCATGGCGTACATGGGGTGCATGAGGCGTGTGGGGCATACGGGGTCCATGGGGTGCACAGGTTGCATGGCACATGTGGGACACATGGGGTGCCTGGGCGGGGAGTGTGGGGTGCGTGGGGCACAGGGGGTGCGTGGGATGTACGGGAATTATGGGGTGCACGGGGTGCGTGGGGCGCGCAGGGCACACACGGTGTCAGGGTCCATGGGGTGCTTGGAGCTCATGGGGCGCACGGGGTGTGTGGGGGGTGCTATTCTCTGCCCTGTGGGACCCTCTCCCTTTTTCCCTGTCCTCTCCCCTCTCCCCTTCGCTCTCCTGCAGCTCTTCGGGTTCCTCAACTTCCTGCTGTGGGCCGGGAACTGCTGGTTCGTGCTGCGGGAGACGCCGTGGCTGCGGCCGCCCGCGCCCGGCGACAGCGCGGCCGAGCAAGGCGCCATCGACAAGCAATAGCCCCGGGGCGACCAGCCCGGGCATCCCGCCCGGCCCCGGCACCCCGCGCCGGCCGCCCCGGGACGGCGTGTCGCTGTCCCCGGCCCCGGAGCCGCCCGGGGCTCGGATGCTGAAGGGGGACGCGGAGCCCCGGGGGTCCCGCCTGCTGTCGGGGGCTCTGCGGTCACGCCGGGGGTCCGTGTCTGTACGGGGCGCATAAAGTCCTGGGTACCAGCCGCGCACCGGGGCTCCTGTGTCTGCCTCGGTGCGGAGCGGGGCGCATCCCGGGTGGGGCGCGACCCCCGGTCCGTGCAGGGATAAACCGGTCCCCATCTCTGGTGTAGGGTGAACTGAGGGCCTCAGATCAGTATTGGGCTAATGGAGGGTCGCAGATAGGTCACAGGGGACCCCAACCTAGTAAAAGGATAATTGGGAACCCCGGTCCAGTGTTGGGATGACATTGGGAGCACCACTCCACTATAGGGACCACCTGGAACCCCAGCCTGGTATGGGGATAATGGCAGGGAGTCCCAGCCCCACATAGGGATAATAGGGAGCCCCAGAGCAGTGGAAGGATAATGGGGGCTCCTAGGCTGGTGTAGGCATAATGAGGGTCCCCAGCCCCGCGCAGGAGCAACCTGGAACCTCAGCCTGGTACGGCAATACCCTGGGCTCACAGCCCAGTGCAAAGTGACTACACCAGACCCCAGCCCCTGGAGTTCTGGGTCCGGTATGGGGACAACAGAGAAACCCAACCGAGTATAGAGATACCGAGCGCCCCATACCTGTTACAGGGCTACCGGGTACCCGCATCCCGGTCTGGCGGCACCAGGAGACCGCAGCCCGGTGTGGGATCAGCGGGGAGCGCAGGGGTAGCGGGTGTCCCGGCTGGGTGGGGCCGGGGCTCCCCGGGCGGGGCGGGCTCGGGCCGGCGGGCGGGGGTCGCCCCGGGACTACCGTGCCCGTGGTGCCGCGGGGCGGGCGGGGCGCGCGGCGCATGCGCGCGGCGGGGGCGGGCGGGGGGGCGGCGGTGCCGCGGCGGCGGCGGCGGCGATGGCGGCGGAGCGGCGGCCGGTGCCCGGCCTGGACGAGTTCGCGGGGCAGAGCTGGAGCGCCTGGCTGGAGCGGGCCGGGCCGCCCGCCGACACCGGTGAGGGCGGCGGCGGCGGGGGGGGCTTCGCGACCGGGGCCGCGCCCGCCGACCCCCGGTCCGAGCGCCGCCGCGCGGCGGGCGGGCAGCGGCACCGGGAGAGGGGAGTCCGGCACCGGGAACCGGCAGCAGGGCATCCCGCACCGGGCGCTGGGAACGGGGCATCTTGCACTGGGAACCGCGAACGGAGCATCCTCCACCGGGCAATGGGAACCGAGAGCAGCGGGGACGGCTCGTTCTGCTCCGGGAACGGGGCACCGGGAACGGGGCATCCTGCGCTGGACAGCGGGAAACAGGGCACTGGGAACCCTGCTCTGGGCGTCGAGACCTGGCATCCAGAAGCGGCAGCTGGGCGCACAGCACAGGGTGCAGGGTCTGGACGCCCAGGGCAGGATTCCCAGTGCCCAGTTTCTGGTGCGGGTTGTCCTGGCATGTCCTAGGATGTTCCCTGGCACTGGGAGCTGGACACCTGGAATGAAGCATCCTGTACTAGCACCTGGCACTGGGAACAGGGCAGCCAGACCTGGCACCCTGCACTGGGAACCACGCACTGGGAATGGGCACCCTGCACTGGGAATCAGACACTGGGAACCAGACACTGGGAATGGGCACCCTGCACTGGGAACCAGACACTGGGAATGGGCACCCTGCACTGGGAACCAGACACTGGGCATGGGCGCCCTGCACTGGGAATCAGACACTGGGCATGGGCGCCCTGCACTGGGAACCAGACACTGGGAACCAGACACTGGGAATGGGCACCCTGCACTGGGAACCAGACACTGGGAACCAGACACTGGGAATGGGCACCCTGCACTGGGAACCCTGTTCTGGGAATGGGGCACCCTGCACTGCGATCCTGGTACTGGGAATGGGCACTCTGCACTGGGAACCAGGCACTGGGAATGGGCACCCTGCACTGGGATGCTGGTACTGGGAATGGGCACCCTGCACTGGGAACCAGACACTGGGAATGGGCACCCTGCACTGGGAACCAGACACTGGGAATGGGCACCCTGCACTGGGATCCTGGTACTGGGAATGGGCACCCTGCACTGGGAACCAGACACTGGGAATGGGCACCCTGCACTGGGATCCTGGTTCTGGGAATGGGCACACTGCAGTGGGATGCTGGTACTCAGAACTGGGCATCCAGACCTGACAGCCTGTTCTGGGAACTGGGCACTCAGTCCTGGTGACCACGCACTGAGAATGTGGCATCCTGCACCAGAACATGCAGAAACAGGAATGGCACCCAGCCCTGGGCACCAGACAATGGCACTAGGATATCCTGCAATGGGTAGCTGGCACCAGGAACTGGGCACTGGGAACCTTACATTGGGCATCCAGACCTGGCACCCAGTACTGGGAACTGGGAATGGACACCTCCTGCTCTGGGAATGTGGCATCCAGCACCGGGCATCTGGCACCAGGAGTCAGGCCTGGGGTCCTGGCACTGCACAGCCAGATGTGGCACCTGGTACCAGGCACTGGGCACTCAGCACTGGGAGCAGGGCATCCTGTACTGGAGACTGAGAAATGGAATGGGGCATCCTACAAAAGTTGTCCAAACACTAGGAATCTTACAGTGAGCACTGGGCACCAGGAGCTGGGCACCTGGAACTGGGCACCCTGTGCTTGCACTGGGAACTGGGCACTGGGCAGCCACACTGGGCACTGGGATTCAGGAACTGGGCAGCAGGATCTCTTCACTAGGAATTGGGCACCCAGCACTGGGCAGCCCAGTCTGCCCACTGGGAACCCTGTGCCCGCTATGGGGTGCCAGTTATGGGGTGCCCCATCCTGGATTCCAGATGTCCCAGCTGCAGTGGGCACTGGTGGGAGCAGAGCAGTAACTGGAGATCCTGGACTGGGAATTAGTTGCCACCATTACCCCAGACCAGGCAGGACATACTGGGAGCCCCAGGTGGGGGACTGGGCATCACATGCTGGGCATTGGGATGTCCTGCACAGGGAGCTGGGCAGGGCACACTGGGAGCCAGGTGCTCCTTACTGGGAGCTTGGGAGTGTCCCAGTGGGCTCTCAGCACTGGGACTGGCTGCCCTGGACTGGGCACCAGTGGTGGTGCACCTGGATGGGTCTGGGTGCCCAGTATGGCACAGCTCGGTGGCACTGGCCACCCAGTATTGCATGGCCATGCAGGCAGGACTGGTTACCCAGTATGGCACAGCTGGATGGAACTGGGTGCCCAGTATGGCATGGCCTGATAGGACTGGGGATGGACAGGGCACCCAGTTGGGCACAGTTGGCCAGGTCACCATCGCCACTGGCTCAGTGGCCACCAGTGCCCCCAGAGCAGAGCCCAGGCACAGCCAGTGGAGCCACGGCTGTATGGGAACCAGGGTGACCCCAGGGTGTCAATCCCGGGACCAGCACGTTCCCAGGGGTGTCATGTGCCACACCGGGGTGTCCTCAGGGGTGTTACACCCCATCCAGGATGGGGCTGTCCCCAGGTGTGTCCCATCCCAGCACCAGGGTGTCCTCAGGGATGTTGCATCCCAGGGCAAATACGTCCCAGGGGTGTCACATCCCAGGAGTGTCACATCCCGTACTGGGATGTCCCCAGGAACATCCTGCTGGCACTGGGCTGCCAGGATGGGGACCCTGGAGATGGTGACACACCACAGGGCGATGCCACTCACAGGATGATCTGTCTCTCTGGTCTGATTTTGTCTGGTTTAATTGTTCCAGGAGCAGGAATGCCAGGACCAGCCCTGTGCGGGAGCACCGGGACCGTCCGTGTGCCAGCCACTGACAGGATTTTGTCTCTGGCAGGATCAGGGTCAGAGCTGGAGGAGAATGGGAAGAGCAGCAGCAAGAAACTGGACACCATGACCCTGATTAAGGAAGGTGAGCTCCTCTCTGGGGTGAAACCCAGCATTTCGGGGCCGTGTGAGCCATCGAGCTGGGATCCTTGTCTGCAGTGCTTCCAGCAGCACCAGCTCTGTGCCAGCTTACTGAGCTCTCCCCACAGACATGGACATCTTCGGGCACTGCCCCGCGCACGACGAGTTCTACCTGGTGGTCTGCAACCACTGCAGCCAGGTGGTGAAACCCCAGGCCTTCCAGAAGCACTGTGGTGAGCCAAGGAATTTGGGGAATGGCTATTCCACCCCACGGTGCTGGGAACAGCACTGGGAATGCCCCCAGGGCTGGTTGTGGGGGTACAGCCTACGGGCAGGGAGGGGGCTCGCAGCGGTGCGGGCTCTGGTGTGGGCTAACAGTGGGGTTATCCCGTTTTATCCGTGCCATGCCATGCCATCCCTCGTGGCAGAACGCCGTCATGGCCCGCTCAGCAAGCTCTATGCCCGTGCCGCCGCGTGCCACGTCGCCGTGAACGGGCAGCCGGTGCCTGGCAGGACCCCCGGAGCGGCCAAAGCCCTGCAGGAGAAGCACCCTGGTGCCCGTGGGAGAGCCCAGCCCCTCCCGGAGCACACGGACAAGGACAACAACCTCTGGTGAGCGCTGGGACGGGCCACCCTCGTGCTCTTGTGGGGTCGCTTTGATGCCAACCCCCTCCTCCCCAAAATTCTCTCCGCAGCTTGTTTGTGCCCGTGGTGAACCTGGAGAAGATTCCCAGCATTCCCAAACCGGACGGGCACGGGATCAAGGTGCCCCCCAAAGCCGTCCCCACCAACTCCAAGGAATCCCTGGGGAAACCCGCGGCTGCCGCGGTGCCCAAAGAGCCCCCGGTGCCCGCCGGGGTCGGGGGGGATTCGGCCATGCCGGAGAGCATCCCTGCTCCGGGGGACAAGGATGTGGGGGCCCCCAAACCGCCCCCCAGGTCCCACAGGAAGCTGGCGCGTGAGTCCCCCCTTTCCTTGCCGGCCGTGGGGGGGGGCGGATGATCCCAGCGGGACTCCCTGGTGCCGGAATTCCGGTGGCCGGGTCTAGCAGTGGGGTAGGTACCAGGGGAGTGGCTCCCCCCTCTCCTCTGGAGGGTTGTTGGGGGGTCCCTGCCCTCCCCCCAGTTCTGGTCATCCTGTTGGTTTAGGGCTCCCACTTGGCTGCTCCCAAGGAATGGCCACAGCAAGAGCGGGAGCTGAGGGTGGACCCCCAAATTCGCACGTGCTCCTCCAAGAGTGGGGGTCAAACAGCTGTCCCCCATAAAAACATGGAGGTAGAACAAGTGCCCCCCCCATAACATGGGGGTTGAACTTGTGTCGCCCACAAAAATACGTGAGAATTGGATATGTGACCCCCAAAAATAGGGGGGTGAAATGTGCATTCCCTCCCAAAATATGGGGGTCGAATACGTGTCCCACAGAATAGAGAGGTTGAATATGTGTCCTCCCAAAAATATGGGGTTTGGATGTGTATCCCTCCAAAATATGGGGGTGACATATGTCACCCCAAAAGATGGGTGTTAAATGCATAGTCCCACAAGATATGGGGGTTAAACACATGTTCCCCCCAAAATACGTGGGTGAAACAAAACACATGGGTGTGTCCCCCCAAAATACGGGGGTCAGTGTGTATCCTCTGAAAATGTGGGGGTTGAACATGTGTCCCCCCAAAAAATATGGGGGTTGGGCATGTGTCACCCCAAAATACAGGGGTTGGACATGTGTCGCCCCAAAATATGGAGGCTGAACACATACCCCCCTCCCCCAAAATATGGGGGCCAAATGTGTTGTCCCTCCTAAAATTTGGGGTTATAACACATGCCCCTCCCAAATATGGGGGTCAAATGTGTATCACCCCAAAATAAGTGTGTCAAATGTGTGTGCTACCCCAAAATATGAAGTTTGGATGTGTTCCCCCCCCCCCCCAAATAGGGAATTTGGACATATGTCACCCCAAAAGATGGGTGTTGAACATATAGTCCCCAAAATATGGGAGTTAAACATGTGCCCCGCTGCCCCCAAAATACCAGAGCCAATTGCTGCTGTGCCCACAGACACTCCTAGGTGACAGCAAGGCCATTAGCAGGACTCAGGTGAAATTTGGGGGGGTCACTGCAGGAAAGGGGCAAAAAAGGGGGGGGCTTACCCTGCAGAGGAGCAAGAAGGGGAGGGAGCAGCACATGGTGACCCCCCACCCCCTCAAAACTTCTCAGGGTTGTGTCCCCCACTCAGAACTGCTCCGAGGAGTGGGTGCTCCATGCCCAGCCCTGGTGGGGGGTGTTGGGGTGCCCCCCCAGCACTCCCCAGCACCCTCTGCCTCCATGTCCCCCCAGGGAAGGAGTGTGACCTGAACCGGCAGTGTGGGGTGCGGAACCCCGACACCAACAAGCTCTGCACCCGCCTGCTGACCTGCAAGGTAGTGGGGAATGGGGAGGGGACACCCCGATATCCCAGCCTGAGGCTTTTGGGGGATCCTGAGCCCCTCCCTGCTGCCACCCAGATCCACTCGGTTCACCAGCGCCGGGAGGTGCAGGGTCGGGCCAAGGATTTTGATGTGCTGGTGGCCGAGCTCAAGGCCAGCACCCGCCGAGGGGACCCCCCGAAAGACAGGAGCCCCCCTGAGAAGGACCCACTGCACCTTGCCCTGCAGGACACCCCCCCACTGCTGCAGCCCCCCAGTACCCCTCCCTGCCGAGCCAGGCTGTCCCACTGCTTGCACCCCCCCAGGTGAGTACCCCATGGATTTGGGGGGGGGGGGGTCTCCTCTCACCTTTCCCCACCCGAATTAGGGGGAGTGCATTGAAAGGGCAGGAGTGGGAGTGGGGATTTGGGGGGGTCCATCTCACCCCCTCCCCACCTGAACTGGGGGAATGTGGTTTGGAGCAGTGATTTGGGGGGTTCCGTGTCACCAGCTGAATTTGGGGGGATGTGGATGGGAGCAGGGATTTGTGGGGTCCTGTCTCAACCCCTCTCCAGCTGAATCAAGGGAGGATGTGGCTGGGAGCTGGGTTTTGGGGGTCCCATCTCACCTTTCCCCACCTGCGCTGGGGGGTGTGGCAGGGCAGCAGGAATGTGAGTGCAGAATTGTGGGGTCCTGTCTCAGCCCCTCTGCACCTGAATTGGGAGGGGAAGTGGATGGAAGCAGGGATTTGGGGGGGTGTGGGTGGGTCTGATCTCTCCCCACCTGGATTGGGGAGCACATTGTAGGGATTAGAAATGGGGATTTGGGGGGGGGGGGTATTGTCTCACAGTGACCCCCCAAGTATTGAGCACCCCAAAACTTCCTCTCCGATGCAGGGCCCGACTTTCCTCTGCCAGTGACCCTGAGGATGCCCCGGCCACCTCTGGGGAGGGCAGCATGGGAGGTTTCCCCCTGCCCAAGGGGGGCAGCCGCGTGTCCAGTGAGGAGAGCGAGGAGGAGGGGGGCGAGGAGCCCCCCCGGACCCTGGCGCGCCCACCACGGCCTCAGGCGGTGAGTGAGGGGACCCCAGAGTGGGGCAGGGACCCCCAGCTCCAGCAGTGACCCACCCGTGTCAGACCCCAGAGCGGGCAAGGGACCCCCAGCTCCAGCAGTGACCCAGAGCAGGGCAGGGACCCCCAGCTCCACCAGTGACCCACCCATGTCAGACCCCAGAGTGGGGCAGGGACCCCCAGCTGCACCAGTGACCCAGAGTGGGGCAGGGACCCCCAGCTCCACCAGTGACCCACCCGTGTCAGATCCCAGAGCAGGGCAGGGACCCCCAGCTCCACCAGTGAGCACCCGTGTGTCCCTTCCCCAGCTCCGTGCCGGGTGGGTGGTTGAGGCGGGGGCGTGGGGGGGCTGCAGTGACCCTGGCACGGTGCCCCCCCAGTTCTGCACCTTTGGGAGCCGCCTGGTGACCCCGGGCTGTTACGTGTTCGACCGACGGCTGGACCGGTTCTGCGCCGCGCTGGGCTCCATGCTGGAGCAGCACCTCAGCGCGCACAGGTGGAGGTGAGGGGGACAAAGCCTGGGGTTTGGGGTCCCAGCGAGGTGTTGGGATTGCGGGGGAGGAAGGGATTGGGGATTTGGGGGGGTCTTGTTGCACCCCCCCCATTCAAAGTGAGGGATGTGAGTGGGAAACCAGAGTGGGTCTCATTTCACCTCATTCTGATCCAAACTGATGAGGATAAGATGGGGATGGAGGGATGGGAGTGAGGATTTGGGATCCCCTCCCTACCTGAATCAGGAAGGATTGGGGGGACAAAGATGGGAGTGGGAATTTGAGTGGTCCCATTTCATCACCTTCTCACCCAAATTGGGAAAGATCAGATGGGGATGCAGGACTGAGAGAAGAGATTGGAGGGAGAGGTTCTGTTCACCCCCTCCTCACCTGAATTGGGGCGTAATGGAGATTTAAGGGATTTGTTTCACCCCTTCCCATCCAAACTCGGGGGGACAAGGTGGGGATGCAGGGGTGTGAGTGAGGATTTGTGGGGGCTCCCATCTCACTTTACCACACCTGAACTGGGGAGGACAGAGTGAGGCTGGAGGGATGGGAATGAGGATTTGGAGAGGTCCCATCTCACCTTTCCACGCCTGAATTGGGGAGGACAGGGTGGGGCTGGAGGGATGGGAATGAGGATTTGGAGAGGTCCCATCTCACCTTTCCATGCCTGAACTGGGGAGGACAGGGTGGGGCTGGAGGGATGGGAATGGGGATTTGGAGAGGTCCCCTCTCACCTTTCGACACCTGAACTGGGGAGGACAGGGTGGGGCTGGAGGGATGGGAATGGGGATTTGGAGAGGATGCAGTGGGGGGATGTGGCTGGGAGCAGGAGTTTTGCGGGTTCCCCATCTCACCCGTCCCCTCCCTTCCCACAGGAAGATCCCTCCAGCCGTCGTCCCCCCTCTTCACCTCCCCGCCGCCCCCCCCAGCCCCGCTGCCCCCCTTTTCGGCCCTGCCACCCCTTCCCCGCCCCTCCGCAGCCTCTCTGCGGCCGGGGGGTGCCGGGTCCCCACCAGCCTCACCTACACCGTGGGGTCCCCGCCGGCGGCGGCCGCCTGCAGCCAGCCCGAGTGCGGGGGAGGGGGCACGCAGTCCATCACCTCTCCCCTCCCCGCCAACACCCCCTCGCCCTCCTTCAGCAAACTGCCCCCCAGCAAGGCCAGCAAGTCGCCCCGGGCACGGGAGGCGCCGGGGATGGACGCGGAGCCGCGGCCCTGGCAGCCGCCCCCCACGGCCGGCAGCCCCCCCTACAAACGGACCTGTCTGGGGGACAGCGCCAAGGGCAAAAATCAGGGCTTGGCTCCCCCCGGCAAGACGAAACTCACGGCCCCGGCTTCGCCCTCCGTCGCCCTGGCGAACGGGAGCCCGCGGGTGCGGCGGCCGCCGCCCGGGCAGCCCTGCCCCGCCGCCCCGGAGCCCCGAGCGCCGCCGCTGCCCGGGCTGGGCGGCTCCCCCCGGGGGCTCTCCGACGAGGAGGTGAAGAGGCGCAAGAACGCGGCCACCTACTGCCGAGCCCTGAAGGCCAAAGCCGCGCCCGCCCTGCCCGGCCCCGGCGGCTCCGGGGGCTCCGTCCGCAGGAAGAAGCCGGGGACGCCCCCGGGCTTCGAGGAGAAGAGGAGCGCCCTGAAGGTAGGGCTGGGGGGTGAAGCACGGGGAACCCCCACAGTGAGGGACCAGCAGGCACCGGGGACACTTGGCTGGGGTCACTGTGCCCAGAGAGATGCCCCGTGCTGGGGGGACACCGTGGGCCGGAGGGGGAGAAGACCAGGACACCCTGGTCTGGTGACCCTGGTCTGATGGGGACACCCTGGTCTGGTGGGGGACACCCTGGTCTGGTGGGGGACACCCTGGTCCTGTGGCGACACCCTGTCCTGTGGGGACACCCTGGTCTGGTGACCCTGGTCTGGTGGGGACACCCTGTCCTGGTGGGGACACCTGGTCCTGGTGACCCTGGTCTGGTGGGGACACCCTGTCCTGTGCAGGACACCCTGGTCTGGTGGGGACACCCTGTCCTGGTGGGGGACACCCTGTCCTGGTGGGGACACCCTGGTCTGTGGGGGACACCCTGGTCTGGTGGGGACACCCTGTCCTGGTGGGGGACACCCTGTCCTGGTGGGGACACCCTGGTCTGGTGGGGGACACCCTGGTCTGGTGGGGGACACCCTGTCCTGGTGACCCTGGTCTGGTGGGGACACCCTGTCCTGGTGGGGACACCCTGTCCTGTGGGGACACCCTGTCCTGGTGGGGGACACCCTGTCCTGGTGGGGACACCCTGGTCTGGTGGGGGACACCCTGGTCTGGTGACCCTGGTCTGGTGGGGGACACCCTGGTCTGGTGGGGGACACCCTGTCCTGTGGGACACCCTGAGGGGGTGGGCACCTCCCCAGCCCTGGGGACACTGTGGGGACCCCCAAGCCCGTGGAGAGCCCCCACGGGACCCTGTCCCCAGCGTTGCCCCCCAGGGCTGACCGTGCCCTCTCCCCCCTGCAGTCCAAAGCCCATTAACAGAGGGGTCACCGGGGGCCCCCCCTGTGTCCTCCCCACCTGGAAACGCCAGAAAACCGATGAAGGGGGAAAAAAAACATCCCAAGGAAACACGAAGGAAAAAAATCCCAAACTTCCAGAAAATACCTCAAAACTCTCAGTTCTGTTCTCTTGCTGCTAAACCAGCCCCGGGAGGGGGGGGCGGCACTGGGGACCCCCCCCGGACCTCCCGGGGCCCCGTCGGCCGCGGATATTTATAAGAAACGGTTGTTGCTGTTTTTGTTCTTTTGTAAAAAAACAAAACAAAACAAAAAAAAAACAAACACAAAGAAAAAAAAAAAGGGGGGGGGGGGGGGGGGGGGGGGGAAGAGGGGAGGGTGGGGGTTGGTGGGTTGGGGGGGGGGGGGAAGGGGGGGATACTGGAAAATTATTGGGGGACTGGGGGAGTGTCACTGGGGAGCTGGAAGGGGGCACTGGGGTTGTTAAGAATGTTGAGGGGCCAGTGGGTTACTGGGGGGCTCACTGGGGGAGTTGTGGAGGGTTACTGAGGAACAAAGGGGGTCTTTGGGGTGCTGAGGGGCTGTGGAGCTGGGCAGGGGCTTATAAGGGTCTCTGGGAGGCTGAGGGCACCATTGGGGTGCTGGGGGGGTTGCTGGGGACTAGAGGGGGTCTTCAGGGTGGGCAAGGCCCCATAAGGGTCTTTGGGGGGCTGGGAGATGGTCAGTGGGGTCAGTGAGATTCTGGGAGTTGGCTGGGGGGTGGTAAATGGGGTCACTGGGTGCTGGGAGGCTCAGTGAAGTCACTGGATGGGGGCAAACTGGGGACCACAGGAGGTTTTTGGGGTGCTCGGGGGACGTGTGGGGTTTATTGGGGTGCTAGGAGGGTACAGGGACCATAAGGGGTCTCTGGGGACTTGGGGAGGAGGGCAGTGGGGTCATTAAGGGGCTGGGGAGATCAGTGAATTGCCTGGGGGTGACCTGTTGACCATGGAGGGTTATTAGGGTGCTGGGGGGGTTAAAGGACAGGTACTGGGGACCATCTTTGGGGTGCTGGGGGGACAGGCTGGCGACAACAAGGGTCACTGAGGTACTAGGGGTGTCATTTGGGTCATTGGGGTGGCCACAGAGGGTGCCCAGAACCCCCTCCCAGCACAGCGTGCCGGGGTCAGAGGGACCCTGGGGTGGGCACACCGGGGTGCCCCCCCAGCTCACCACCCTGCACCCCAGATGGGGGCAGGCAGGGCAGCAGGGCCCCCACCCAGCCTGACCCCGGCGGTCCCCCAGCAGTGTCACCCTGTCCCCAGCCCACCCCACGGCAGCAAGGGGAGGGGACACGCCGGGGGTCCCCAGGAGCAGGTGAAGGCTGCACAGGCGCGAGGGAAACACGTTTATTTTGGCCAAGGCATGGGTGGGCATTGCCTGGTGCGGGGGGAACGTCCGGGGTGGGGCACGGGAGTCACAGGCTGGGCTGGCAAGGGGACACCCACGGCAGGGGGCACCCCCTTTTTGGGGTGCAGGAGCCCCCCGGTCCCACCCCCCGTGGGGGAGGGGGCTCTGTTTGCAGCTGCGGGTTGCAGGGGGGGTCAGGAGATGTTGGGGGCTCCCCAGGGGTCTGACACACTCCCGGTGTCCCCATGGGGGTGGCACATGCTCCCCGGGGGACTCATGCTTGGCCATGCACATGCCAAGGGGGGCAGGGGCAATGGGGGGCCAGGGCTGCAGGGAGGGGGTTCTGCCCGGTGCTGCCGCTCCTGGGGGCTCACGGCTGCCCCTGTCACTGTCCCTCTGTCCTCCAGTGCCTGGTGGGGCTGATGCCCTGCAGTTGGTGGCCACGCTGTCCTCACTGAGACTTGTCCCTGTGGTCCTGCAGTGACCACAGCAGCGATGCTCACTCCTGAGGGCAATGGTGGAGCCCCCCAAAAACGAGGGACACGGTGGTGGGAGTCTGGTCATCCCTCCTGCCCAGGGACGGGTCACAGCAGGAGATTGTCCCCTTGGTGTGTCCCCTCACACCCTTGGCTCACTGCAGTCCCCTGGTGACTGTGGCAGGGCCAAGGATGATGCTCAGTCCTGAGGGGTGATGTGGGATCCCCAAAAGCTGGGGACACACTGATGGGGGTCCAGCCACCCCTCCAGCCTGGGGACAGCTTGCAGTGGCAGTGGGGACACAGATGTCCCTGAGGACTCCCCATGGTGTGTCCCCTCTCACGCTTGTGTCCCTCGCAGTCCCTCAGTGATTTTGGCAGGGGCCGGGGATGATGCTCAGTCCTGGGGGGTGATGATGGGACCCCCAAAAGCTGGGACATGATGGTGGAGGTCTGGTGACAGGTGACAGTGGGGGACTGCCCCATGGTGTCACATCCTCATCCCTTGTGGTTGCGCAGTGACCTCGGTGGGGGCCAGCAGCGATGCTCTGTCCTGGGGGCGATGGTGTTGCCCCCCAAGTTGGGGACATGGCAGATGGGGTCCAGCCACCCCTTCTGCCCATGGCATGTCCACGGGGAACAGGTCACAGCAGCAGTAGGAACACAGGGTGTCCCGGTGGACTGTCCTCATGGTGTGTCTCCTCACACCCGTGTCCCTCACGGTCCCTTTGTGACCTCAGTGAGGGTGTGGGATGATGCTCAGTCCTGGGGGTTGATCGTGGGACCCCCAAAAGCTGGGACCATGGTGGTGGGATAGGTCACGGTGGGAGACTGTCCCCAAAGTGTGTCACATCTTTGTCCCTCACTGTCCCACGGTGTCAGTGACCTCGGCGGGAGCCAGCAGCGATGCTCAGTCCTGGGGTGTGATGGTGTGACCACCCGAGCTGGGGACACGGCAGTGGGGGTCTGGCCGTCCCTCCTGCCCAGGGACAGCTTGCAGTGGCTGACACGGGGTGTCCCTGGGGACTGTCCCCACGGTGTCCCCTCACACCACGATGGGCGTGTCGGAGAAGACGGAACTCACCGAGTCTGGATCCGACACCTTCCTCTGTGCCTTGGGACCCTGCCGGGCGGGCAGCGGGGGCGTCCCCCCGGCCTTGAACCTGCCGTTCTGCCCTGTGCCAGCGCCGGAGGCGATGTGGGACGGGCAGGGCTCCCCGGTGCCCCCGGCGTGGTTCGGGGTGGTGCTCAGCACCGAGGAGTTGATGCTGTCGTCGCGTGGCGCCGGCGGCTTCTCGGCGCCGCGGCAGCAGCAGCAGCGGCACGGGGTGAGGTACAGGTAGATGAGCACCAGCACCACGCTCAGGATGCAGCCCACCAGAGTGGTGTAGGCCGTGTTCAGCGTGTCGTGGGGGCCGTGCAGGGTGAAGTTGTGCACCAGCAGCTCCACGTAGAGGGTCTCGTTGAGGAGGGGCCCGGCCACCCAGCAGGAGTAAGTGCCGGCGTCCTCAGGGCGCAGCGCCCGCAGCTGGAGGCTCCCGTTGGCCAGCAGCACCACGCTGCCGTTGCCCCCGTCCCCCAGCACCCGCTCCCCGCCCGGTGTCACCCAGTGCCGGCCGCGCACGCCCTGCCACCGGCTGTCGCAGCCCAGCGTCACGCTGTCCCCGAGGTGCGCCTCCAGCACGGCCTCCCGCGCCTTGCTGCAGTTGAGTGGCGGCTTGCCCGCCAGCTCCAGGATCTTGACAAAAGCGGTCCCTCCGGGCTGGAAGCAGCGCAGCTCATCCTGGAAATCCTCCACGGCGCTGAGGTGGCGGCGGCGGCCGCGGTCCAGCAGCTGGAAGAGCAGGCAGTCGCAGGTCAGGGGGTTGTTGTGCAGGTAGAGGCGGTCGCGCAGCCAGGCGGGCAGCGCCTGCAGCTCGCCCGCGGGCACGGCCCGCAGCTGGTTGGCCGACAGGTCCAGCAGCGCCAGCTGCGGCAGCCGGGTGCCCTCCCGGAGCAGCTCCAGCGGGAAGCGGGCGATGCGGTTCTGCCCCAGGTAGAGCTTGCGCAGGCGGCCCAGGTTCTCGAAGGCCGTGCGGTCCACCGTGGCGATCTTGTTGTTGTACAGCAGCAGCACCTCCAGCTCGCCCAGGTCGCTGAACAGGTTCTCGTCCAGCGTGCGCAGGCGGTTGGAGGACAGGTCGAGGTGGCGCAGGTGCGGCACGTGGGCGAAGGCCTCGGTGGACACGAAGGCCAGCCCGTTGTGGCTCAGCAGCAGCGCGTGCAGGTGCGGCAGCCGCGCCGGCGCCCAGTCCGCCCGCAGCCTCGTCACGTTGTTGTGGCTCAAGTCCAGCACGGCGGTGAAGCGCGGCAGAGGCGCCGGCACCACGCTCATGTTGGCCCGCGAGCAGCTCAGCAGGTTGGAGGCGCAGACGCAGCGCGGGGGGCAGCTCCCACCCGCACACCCCCACGGGGACAGCAGGGACAGCGCCAGCAGCAGGGACAGCGGCACCACGGGGACACGCATGGCCACGCAGGGGTGACAGGATGCTGGCATGACGGGACAGTGCAGCCTGGAGAGTGGGGGGAGGCTGCAGTCACATGGTGTCACGATGTGGAGTGGCTCGGTCGCCCAGTGTCACAGCACACTGTGTCACAGCAAGCGCCAGGTTGAGGGTTCACCAGCTGTCATGGTGCAGAGGCTTGGTCACTTGGTATCACAGTCCAAGGTGGCTCTGCTCACCCAGCGGCAGGTGCCAGGCTGGTTGATCACTTGTCACAGTCCAGGCTGGCTTTGGTCCGCCAGTGTCACGGCACGTGCCAGGCTCAAGGCCCACGCAGGAGTCACGGCACAGGGTGGTTTGGTCACCCAGTGTCACGGCACGTGCCAGGCACAGGGTCCCATGGTGTCACAGCACCTGCTCACCCGTGCCATGTGCGGGGTGCTCGGTGTCACCGCGCTGTCATCAAGCGCCCTGGCGTGCACCCCGTGTCACTGCCGGGGTGGCTGTGGTCCCCCGGTGTCACGGCACGGAGTGGCTTTGTGCCCCGGTGCTCCCTCAGTGTCACGGCCGGGGGCTCGGTCCTGGTGTCCCAGGGTGTCCCGGGGTCACGGTGCGGGGTGGCCTGTCCCCACTGTCACGACATGTCCCCACTGTCACGGCCCCCGGGGCACGTCTGGCCCGGGGCTCCCCCCGGTCCCGGCCGTGCTGCGGACCGAGCGGCGGAGGATGCTCGCTCCCTCCCTCCCCCCTTCCTCCCGGGGCGTCACCGGGGCTGGGCTCGGGCCCGGACCGGGGATGGGGTCGGAGCGTTACCGGGCCCGGTGCGGCGGCGACCGGGCAGGGCCGGGCCCATACGAACCGAACCGAAGAGAGTCCAGCGGAGCCGAACCGAGCCGACAGAAGCCGAACAGAGTCGAGCTGAGCCGAGCGACGCCGAACGAAGCCGAGCGGGCCGCGCCGAACCAAGCCAGGCCGAACCGGGCC